TTTTAATAGTGAGGTTTATAAACATAATTATTATTACAACTATTATTGACAGTCTGAATTACTGTAAGTCAGTTATAGAAATTGTGCAAATAATAAGCACCAATGAAAGCAAATAACAAACTTGAAAAGTCTATTCAAGACTACTACATTATAAAAAAGGTCAAGTCAAAAACAGGTAGTCCTCGACTTACAGCAGTTTGCTTAGTGACCGTTCAAAGGAACAATAGCACTAAAAAAGTGACTTATGACCATTTTTTACACTTATGACCACTGCAGTCTCCTCACAGTCATGTGACTTATATTTGGATGCTTGACAACTGACTCATATTTATGACAGTTGCATTGCCCAGGTGTCATGTGATCCCCTTTTGCAACCTTCTGACAAGCAAAATTAAGGGGCCACCAGATTCAATTAATTAAGTTACTAATTTAACAACTGCAGTGACTCACTTAACAAATGTGGCAAGAAAAGTCATAAAACAGAGCAAAACTCACTGAACAAATTTCCCACTTTGGGGCTCAATTATGGTCGTAAGTTGAGGACTAGCTGTATTTAGAATCCAGGATATTTACTGCTAATTAGGTTGGAAATACATTGGTCACCAGTGTAGATCATAACTGATGCAATTTCTGAGGTCTAATTAATAACCGCTGCAAGGTAACTGGACATTCAATGTAGCTTCCAAGTAGCCTTCATAGGAAGACTCTCATTCAGGTGCATTACTGTAATTCAACAAGGAAGTTTAGAAGTATAGGTAACAAGCCAAATCCATTTTCACCTGGCTTACCAAATGAAGCTGTGCCCAGATCTTGGGATGCAAGATCATCACAACTCATGAAGGATAAAAGTTTAGAACAAGGGCTTTTTTCACGAATCTATTGCTGAAATCAAAGCCCAAGAAGTGCTGAAGGAGGGGGAGCTTCTGATGTCAACTGACAACACTTCTTCCTTTTAGTTTAGGGACTAAGGGATAAAAAGATTTTTATTTTTCCTTTAATCCATCACAGAAAATTTCTTTTTTCTTTTTTTAACCATAGTCCTTGGGGAAACGTTTTTCCCCTTAGTGCCACGGAACCCATTCAAGCGCTCAAAAAAGCCTTATGATCTGTGGGACCTAGCCAGAAAAATCCCACTTTATAGCAGCTTGATTTTTTCTCGGCAGACAGAAAAGAGGAGAAGAATTAGGAGGAAAAAAAAAAGAAGGAAAAGGAACAGCAGCACATTTTAGACCTCCATTTCAAAACTGAATATGCTAGTTCTAGCCTGAAATCAAGTACAATACATTTTGCACTTCTTTTCCTCCTTAATAAAAATAATTCAGAGGAACAATTACTCTGAAAACTGCCTAAAATATTGAAACTGAATATTTCAAATTTAATCTTGTTTCACTAAGGCTTGAAAATGATCACTTGGTAGCCATTTGAAGATCTTTCACAAACAAAGCCACTTTTTTTCTCTCTAGACATAATTCTCTATCACAACATTGATAACCTTTTTTGACATCTTGCTTGGGCTGTCTCAGGAGAGACAAAATAAGCACAAAGGCTGAATTATATTCACACTGCTTCTGTGGATCCTTCAGGACCACAGGGCAATGTGAAGAAGCTTAAAATACAATTTTTGACACTAGTTTAAAGTGTAGCAAATAGGCAAATACAACATTCTGAGATATACGACACATTGGCACAGAGGAGGCATAGGGTCCATTCCCATAGTTACTACCCCAACCTTTTTAGTAGTGTACTAACGAAAAGATTCTCTCTGTATGTGACATATAGTTTGACGGCTGCTTAACTTATATTAGTAATATAGAAAATTACCTTATAATGAATGAGATTATTGCCTCAGTTAGCTCAGTATTATATATGTGTTGTGTGCCCACTAGATGCATTGGGGTCAACTAGCAGAATTTCCAGCAAGGATAATCTGTAGAGCACCAAACTGGAGAAGACTAGTTTACATAAATAAATAGTGGCTCTCAAGGTGTCAGACATGGGTGATTCCTAGCTTGACCTGGAAATTTAGGAACAGACTTTCCCCATTTTCCTCTCTATAAATTAGCTTTTTATAAAAGATATGATGGTGGACAATTTCCTTGAAAAGTCACATGAGAGGACCAAGGCACACTGTGGCTGACCCTGGTCACGACAAAAAAAAAAAAAATACATTTGATTTTTAAAATATATTATGAACAGGGGCCAAGCAATTGGGTACAAACATGATTATATAGATATTCCTTTTATAATTTCACTTTAAATGAGCTTTGTGATGCTTATCCCTCAAATAAAGTGGTAGCAAAACCACACTTCCTTTCATTCCTGAAGTTATGAGTGTGTATCTATAACAGAGAATAAAATACAAAGTCCACATAATCAAAGAATGGAGATATGAAATGGAACAGATTACACACATGCTGGCACACCCATGTTATTAGAAGAGAAAAATCTCCACTGAATTAGCTAATGTCTGAGGATGGCTTCAAATTATCAAATCAGTACTTGCTAGATACAGCCGCAACAACCACAATAAAGCATTTTTAAGATGTTCGAAGTGGGAAGGACACGTTCTCAGCCTTTTGTATTAGCAGAAGATACTTCTTCTATCATTCGTGTTGTTCTGTTTAAATAATTCAATAGGTGATGTGAATGTAATTTTCTTACAAGAGAAGGAAACTAATTTGAAAAACCGCCTAAGACAAAATTAAGCTTATTTTATCTGGAAGTTACATATTACTTCATGCCTCTCTACACTCATTCCCAGATCGTAGCACTCAACATTTAGCCGTGGCTTCTCCAACACCCAATCACAGAAGTCAGTGAGCCAAATTAAGTAATACATCCTTCAATCTGGGTTAAATCAATCTCAAATCAAGGGTTATAAAACTCTCTTTGTAAAAGAATCAAGAATGTGTTTTAAAGTACGGTCTTTGGTTCTTACAAAACCATTCAGTGAAAGACAGAATTAAATGGTACATTTTTCCCAATCACATTGAAAGGTGGCAGAATAGGGGCTGGAGGCATGTAAGTCAGAGGTTTTGCACGGACCAGTCCTGGCTTTCGAGTTAGACTATGGTTTAACACAGGGGTCTTCAAACGTGGCTCTTTTATGACTTGTGGACTTCAACTCTCAGAATTCCTCAGCCAGCATGCCCGGCTGAAGAATTCTGGGAGTTGAAGTCCACAAGTCATAAAAGGGCTATGTTTGAAGACCCCCTAGTTTAACATGAATGCAAGCCTCCTGAATACAAAGCAGGATATGAATCTAGCAAACAAATCAATACTACCATAGAACATGAATTCAATATCATTAGACTCCCCACAGCAGGACTCAAATATCTGAGGCACTTTTCCTATCCTGAAATCTACAATGGCACCACTACACCTGTGCAAGAATGTTGTACCATGAACTGATCGCAATAATTCCAGACTAAAAACTAGTACAAAATACCAACTGCTTGTAGAAGCTGAGAACTTTGAGCAACTATCAGAAAAATAAACTATTTCTGCGGGAATATGGAACTATTTGGAAGAAAAAAATGCATAGTTGTTAAGTCAAGTGTCTCAAGTTCTGTCACAAATTTCATAGGGTGAGTTAGGTTTAACTGAAAGCTACTACATCTATTTCAAAGTAGTTAAGCAAACCAGTTAGTTAATGATACCTGTTAAGTTATCTACCTAAATAGGTCTGATTGAGATGTTTCTAGAAACGAATGCCTTTCATTGTGTGCAAAACTTAATAATTAGGAAATATCTGGGAAGCATCAGAATGTCTCCTTTTCTTCTAAGATTATGGCAAATGCACTTGTTCTGGTGCTGGTCTGTTAATTTTCCAAAAGTAAACCTTCAGAAACAAAGGGGTTTGTGGTAAACTGCAAATTTCAGGGCTGGACTATATAATGCTATAAATCCCTTTCAGTTCTGCAGCATATTATACTTTTCAAAAACTACTAGACCATGCCCATAATTGTCAGATTGGGATGGTCTTGGAGCAAAAAAATAATAATGATAAAAGTTTTAATGTTCTCTGAAACACTCCATTCCTACTGTGCTTAATTCAATCAACTTCCATCCCAATTACCAAAACTATAGGTGTGCAAAATGTTGAAACATCCCATCCAGTTCTGACCTCATTGAAAGAATTCCAACAGAATTTATGGAAAGTATTCCAAAATAAAAATAGGCACTCCAACTGTGAAATGTACTGCAAGTCAAAATGACTTGTTCTTATGATGGAACAGTTTCAGGACTGCTACTACAGCCTTTGCTGCTCACTTTGATTGCACACCACAAATATCAACATTGTGCAACATTCTTGGGACAAACTGCCTCACCTGGCTTTAACCTAGCAAACTCAAGGATCATATTTTGAAAAGTCACCAGCACCCAAATAACCATGGGTCAGATGAAAAAAACTATAAATCTGATATAATTTAAATTTAAATTGAACTAAACTTAAATTCATGAAACCACAATTGGTAATCTAGTTACAGCTGTCCAATTCCTAAAAAAAAGATGACCACAATATAAAATCCTGCCACTTGGAGAAATTCCATAAGTGATTATGTCCAAGTCATCATTGTGCAAAACAGACTAATATCTAATCTGCTTTATGTTTCAGTGTTTTCTGCAAGATTAAATAAACTCCCTAGAAAAAAGGAAGCAAGTTCCTTACAGAAACATGGAATTAGCCTCCTAATGAACTAATTGGGGAAAGCCTTGCAAGCTTCTAATTGTGCAGTGAGGCCTTTCATCTGAATGGAATCTTTATGAATACCATGCCTGGAACGTAGAAAGTAGCCTTGTATTGAATCAGACCAGTGGTCCATTTAGTCTAATACTAGTGACATTGACTGGCAGTGGCTCTTTAGGGATTCAGACAGGAATCTTTCTAGCCTTTCCAGCAGGACCAAGCCGGACCCAGATACTTTCTAAATCTTTAGGTGTCAACTCCTTCTGCTCTGCTAGAGTGATGCTTTGCTTGTGATTGAGCAATGGCTTACCTCAAGAGATTTTTGTAGGCAGCATAGGTCAACTGAGGCACCTCTATACTTTCCAGAAAATAGCACAGAGATGCCATCTAGCAGTCACCCTCAGGAATTTCCAGATTTTCAACATTTCTTCTATTGGAAATATAACTCCATAATATTCAGTAGATATTATGTTTCTCATTGTAACCTTTTGATTCCAGTTTGAAGTTTTGCCTAAGATCTCAGCAATACCCAGAGAAGAAGATAATGATCTATATTAATAGAGTGGAAAAAAACGATATTTTCATGGTAGTTAAAGAAACAGAAATTGCTCTGAGTTAATACATGCTATACTTTAGCCAAAGTATTAAAATAAGTCTTCAATGCATTTGCCACATTTAAGACTTGTTAAAAAATGGAGGTGCTGCTTCATTATAATAGCTAACTAAGTACAACTCATGCAATGGTCTACAGAAAATAGGAAAAATTTAACCCAATTTTGAAGTGAAATCCTGTAAAAAAAATAAATTAATGAACACAATCTCTGTAAGTGGATCTTAATCATGACAATATACAAATATTGTGCCAGAGTTAAACTTATTGGATCTACATGCATTGAACTACTTCTGTGTTTGGAATTTCTGAATCACATGTCTAATCATTTCAAGAATCCATATGAGGTTTCTTGATTTGTTTAAAAAAAGTGGGTTGTGTGATACCTCTTAAAGAGTAATGTTGGCCAACCTGCCTGTGTAGCTGATCTGCATAACATTTTAAGCAAATCATATTCACTGGAGACAAGCAGAAGTTTATCAGATTGCACGAGTCTCTGACCATTTATTTTCCATGTTATTGTAAAAAGTTCCTAAAGAGCTCTGGATGTCTACTTTAAAGGGGAAAAAAAATACAAAACCCTAACTGTCTGCTGTGAGTGTATATTTTTTCTACACAGGTAAGAGCCAGTTTGGTGTACTGGTTAAAGATCTGGAGTAAAAATTGGGTGACTGTGAGTTCTAGTCCTATTTTAGATTCGGAGCCAGCCAGGTGACTTTGGGCTACTCACTCTCAGCCTAAGAAGAAGGCAAGGGCAAAACTACTTCTGAAAAGCATTGCGAAGAAAACCGCCGGGATTTGTAGCCACCTAAGCTCAGAACTCACTCAAAGGCAAAAAATAAGTAAACCAAAACTACAAAACTTGGGAAATGACTGAAATTCATTACTTCTGAGAAATTAAAAGAATTCTGCCCGAGGCTGTTTCTAATTTTGTTGTAGAGGTTCTCTACCTAGGTTTAGGAAATACCAGGAGGCTTTAGTTAATGTGAAAACATTGGATGAAATGACTCTTCTTTTTAAAGTTGTTTTCTTCTACCTTTCTGTCCAGGAAGATCCCTAAGGTGGCTTACATAACACAGCTCACTATGGTAGCATTGAGATTGCTTTTAACCCCTTTTGTAATGTTAAAATAGTGTCCCAATATTCTCTGATGTGTCACAATATTCTCTATTGTGTCATGTATAGAATGAAAGGTCGCTGCTGCCATATATAATCTCTCCATATAATAAAAAGCACAATCTCAAATGCCTGTAGCTGGAAAAAAATAGCACTTACCCCTGTTTCTCATCCTTGCTCCTTTATATAGCTGCCTGGGCAACATATGTGAATTCTTTCATGTCATTATGAACTTAGATATTTCAGGGCTAAACTGAGCAACAAAAAATAGCATCCCAATGGAAGTTCGAAAGCAGATGATTTTTATTTTATTTTTTGTCAACCTCCTGCCTCATGACACTGGCTTGCTGTTTTTCATCTCCAAACTGTTCACCTCTGTTTTTACTACTTGTGGAACAAAAATTGGAATATAAATCTCTTTTACATATACATGGAAGTGTATGAGAATCAGGCAATTTTGAGCAGAAAAGAATGGCCCTTTTTTTTCCTGTATTGAAACTCACAGCGTCCAATGGGGGGAAGGCCCATAGCTTGGTAGCATAAGATGTTCGGCATATAGGAGATACCAAGAAGGATTAGTTTTGGGAGTTTCCAAGTAGGACTACAAATGTTAGGCGCCTGCTTTCGATCCTGGGAGAACCACTGCCAGCAAGATATAATAATAGGTACTAGGTGATCCAAGATCCTGCATCACTCTAAGATAGTATTCTATGTTCATATGGGCAATTTTCATTATAGGATTGTCAAATCATCTGGCATTTATCCAATCTGTTAATGTCTAGATATGGCAGATTGCAAATCACATTGTTTCCAACAACTAGTCAGGAAGGATGGGTGCTGTACTACGGCATATTTAGAATGCAGAAAGTTGGTATAGTCTACACTTAAGTTTGGCTGTGGAAAAATTCTGACTGACTTCAAACTCAAGTTCATTTCTCTTCAAAACTGATTGGGCCATGTATATTGCCTTCCCATTATGTTTACATGCTTCCTTTCTTCCTCACTGTCTTACATAAATGTGAGAAAATATTTACGTCTAGGAAATGTCCAGACCATTTTGTTCGTTCATATGGATAAAAACCATATGAATTTATGCCATAAGAACTGTAACAGTTTCAAAATTTGATTGGACTTTGTTGGGCCTTTTTATATTGTTATAATAGATAGGGAGTGCCAAACACATGGCCTATGGGGCTAGAGCAGGGGTAGGCAACCTTGGCTCTTTTATGACTCGTGGACTTCAATTCCCAGAATTCCTGAGCCAGCCATGCTGGCTCAGGAATTCTGGGAGTTGAAGTCCACGAGTCATAAAAAAGCCAAGGTTGCCCACCCCTGGGCTAGAGATAGCCAGCACTCTTTTGTAACTCTATAGCCCCCCTAGAAGTAGGTGGTCCCAAAAAATATGGTTCATTTTATTTTCATTTCTTGAAGTTTGTGAGAAGGTTAAGAGATCTTAAATCTTGCAGAATTTAAAGCTAAGAATAAGAAGCTAAAGAAACCTAAAACAATGGAATATAAGGCCCACCTATTTTTGACTGTGGCCTTTAATATACTATTCCACAGAGGTCTCCAACCTTTTGGGCACCGGGGACTGGTTCTGTGGAGAGAGGTTTTCCGTGGACCGGAGGGGGCATGGTTTTTTTATGCTGCCTGCATCCTGTGGATGGGGCTTTCCTTATTTGTGTGGACTGGCTGCTGGCATGACGAGGCCCGGTATTGGTCCACGGACTGGGGGTTGGGGACCCCTGCTATACAAAGTTTTCAAACTCAAGGAAACTGTGCTGATCCTGAGTAAATTAACACAACTTAACTTTACGATAATTCCATAGGAATTACAGGTAGTCTCGACTTATGACCATGATTGAACCCAAAACTTCTGTTGTTAAGGAAGATGTTTTTAAAGTGAGTTTTGACCCATTTTACAACATTTCTTGCCACAATTGTTAAGTGAATCACTGCAGCTGTTAAGTTAAGTTAGTAACTTGGTTGTTAATGAATCTGGTTTCCCCCATTGACTTTGCTTGTCAGAAAGTCATAAAAGGTGAACATATGACCCCGGGACACTGCAACCATCATAAATATGAGCCAGTTGCCAAGCATCTGAATTTTGATCACATGGCCAGGGGGATGCTGCAAAAGTTGTAAGTGTGAAAAATGATCATAAATCACTTTTTTTCAGTGCTGTTGTAACTTTGAAGAGTCACTAAATGAACTGTTGTAAGTCAAGGACTACTTGTACTGTAATCCTAATTTTATTTCATTATTTACCATTTATAAAAGAAACTTTAAAAAATTGAGAGATTTTTTCCAAAATTTTTGTGAGTCAGAAAAAATGTTAACAGCACTTTACAGATAGTAGCATTGAGGCCGCTGACTCAACATGGCACTGTTGTTGTTTTTTAGGGAGTTCCTAAACTGGCATTTTTTGGTAGTATTATGGCATCTCACTATAAAATGCATCAAACATCAAGATGTCTGTAGCCTAAGGATCAATGCGTTAAGTGGGTTGGGATGGAAATTCATCTTGTTTTCCTTCTACCTCTAGATATTTGGTTGGGAGGACAACATAATTCCCTGTTGTAGATAAAAAGATCTTCAGATCCTCACAATCACAGCACAAGCAACTGAGAGATGCATATACAACTCTTGTCCACACAGTGGCTCAGATTATCTCTCAGATGCTCAGCAAAGCTTAAGCCGGCCCCTACCTCATTGCTTTGTTTTTAATCAGTGCTCAGTTTTGCTTTAAGTGGAGAAGTCCCAAAACCCAGCTAGGGTATGGTTAACATTATTTTAAGCTTCTTTCCTTTTCAATCCAAACAGAAGGCATGACTGTCTTTCATGAAATTCATCCTGACAAATTGCAGTCAAACAATAAGTCGACCCAAACGTGAAATCAGCAGTGCAGCAGGTACACATTTTCTAAATAACGGCCGGTATCATATTTATAATGTGTGATTTCCCATTTGCTCTCTCCTTACTACATCATGATTTCCAGAAACAACTGCTTTCAACTTGAAGCTCAATTGCCAGCTTGAAGTCTATGTTTCCAGTCTGAACAATTCTGACATCTCTCGAGATATAAAACTTGCTCTGCTTTGCATGTCAAATACCTTTAAAATACAGTACATATTGGCACCCACCCTGTGCAGAACATACACAATGCTGAAGATCTGTACTTGTTATTTTTTCCAAGTCTATCCCCAAAATGTATATATCTAATATGCAAATTGTTCACTAAAACTTTATGCCAAACAGTACACGGTTCAGGAATAATGTTGGGCCTACCCATGGTTCACTAATCTCTTCCCAATACATTTGGATGGGACCCTTTTTAGGTTGAAGGAATGGCTGTCAGATAGTCAAATGGCATTGTGCAAAGCCATTTTTATTGGCTTCTAAAAGTGTACATCATTCCAGTCAGAGCAAATCCTTTTTAAATGTACAAATTCATCTAAAAAATAAATAAATAAACAACTCTTCTGCAACCTGGAGGGAACAACAATTACATAGGAGCCCTCCTTTTTTTTCTGTGATAAAAATGACACGTTTTTTTTTATTTCGACTGCTGCTCCTATTTTTGGGAGTATTTGATGCATTTTATAAATAACCCAGCCCATACCAGTCACTTGGCTATCCTAGTGTCCGTTCTAGTTAGCGCCAGGGACAACTTCCAGAGTATAATAGTGGTGGCACTATCCCAAAGGGGGAACCCATTCCATCCTATTGCTCATTTCCAACCTATTCATCATTGGCTTAATTTCTCAATAAATCCTGCCACCCCACAAAACAAACTTGTATTAATAAATTATGGAAAAGCCCATAATTTATTAATTTATTAACTAATGGTTAATTCAGTTTGGTTGCAATTTATTTTACGGAGGAAAAAAAAAGGGGGGGGGAAATAAGTGAGTGCCATAGTAGTTCCAGCTGTTGGAGAAGATAAGCTGCAGCATCCTCATGTTGCTGACCTCCCTGGTCACTTTCCAACATTAGGTGCAAACACACAGATACACGCACATACATAAACACACACAAGTAAGTACGTAGTGCTCAAAAACAACAAAGCAGGTGGGTTCGAAGCGAGTTGGCTTTGGAGAAGGGTGAGTACATTTCTGGCCAAAACTGTAAGATCTTAGCGGATCCGATGGCAATAAATCTATCAAATGCAACGAAAATCTCTCTTCCCCCCTTCGTCGCCGCGGCCCATTCCTGTCTGAAAAACTATCCCCCCCCCCCAGTCCAAAGCAGACATAAAGACATCAGAGATCCGCATTGCTCCTTCCATCAAAACCGCCGGGGGAAGGGAGGGCAGACGGAAAACAACAACTTGCAGAGGAGCCCTATTTCAAAGTAGTGCCCGGGTGGGGGGGGGGGAACAGAAACAGGACCGAAAGAAGGGCAGTTTGTCCGGATGGAAGATTGGCTTGCTCCTACCTTAGAAGGATCTAGCCCAGCCAGAAGAGCCAAAAGCAAGAGGTTGACAATCCGGGCGGAAGGCTGCATGCTGCTCCCGGGCTGCTCGGCGACCGCTGCTCTTCTCCTCCTCCTCCTCCTCCTCCCTTGGACTCTCCTTCATTCAGTCACTGCAGGGACCCCTGTAGTCAGTTACACTTTCTGCACGCCTGCCTGCCTGCCTGCCTGCCTGCCACAGCCAGAATGCTGGGAGCGGCGGCAGCGGCGGCAGCTCGAGGGGCGCTCATTCATTCCGCAGGCATCCTTCTTAGGCGAAGGGGCGGGGGGGGGCACCCAGTCCAAAGAAGCCGCGGGAGGGAGAGAGAGAAAGAGACGGGAGGGAGGGAGAGAGTATGGGTGGGTGGGCTGGCGGGCTGGCCACTGGCGCACGCCCCGCAGGTGCCCCCGGCTCCCGTTCTCCGTCGGCAGCCAGCCCGCCCCGAAAAGAAAAGTTTGCGCGTCGGACCCAAGAGAAGCGCCAGACAAGCCTGCGCTTTGGCCAGCGCGGATGTGACATCACCGCCGCCCTAGGGGGGAGCGAAGGGGGGGGGAAACTGTCGGCGAGGGAAAAGGGAGGGATGGTTCTCTGGGGAAGGTTAGTAAGTCGCGAGAGACCGCGCGGAAGGCGAGGCGGGAGCTGGGCTGGCTCCGTGGTGATGGGTGGGGTAGAACCACGCAGCCGAAGTGGTTGAGGGATTTCCCGCGCTTCTGACTTACCCGACTTCTTTTAGGAGCCTGGCAGCACGACATTGGGGAGGGGGGGGGGCGGTGTCATTGAGTTGAGAGATGGGAAACTATACGGTGAAAGATTTGCCAGTCTCTCACTGACACACACTCCTTCGATCACATGCAGATCAATAATAATAATAATAACAATAAAAATCATTCCAGTGGAAAGCCGGGGCTGTTCCAAAGGCCATTGGAAAGGGGGTGTGGCGGGGAAAGTCAGCTAACTAATGAGAACCTAGCGCGGCGAAGATTCCACCTTAAAAGAAGGAGCGTACTAAGAGCAGGAAGGGATCAGCAGGTGTCCCGCTCTCCTATTGCCAATTAGCCACTTACACTATCAATTTATTTTGGGTTGGACAGATTGGATGGTACGGCTTTTGCACAGGTCACACCCTGGCATCTCCAGACACCTTTGGGGAAACTCTTGTCTGAACTTTGAAAATGAATTATTGGAATGTAACAGTTGGGTGCCAAAAGGAGTTACCAGAAGCAACAATTTACCATCATGAATGCATTAGGATGCCATGCATGAAATAATAACTAAGCTAATCATCAATATCCTGCCAAATGATTATTTTATAACTCTGTCCACCTATATGTCTCTTGCTACTTAGTTGCAATATAGCCAAATCTAATGCAGTGAGTGAGTAATAGCTGGTATGATTAACTCTAAACTAGCTGGCCTTTGCCAGCATGGTACACGCCAGTCTCTTGATGCTCATCCACGGTGGCTGGGAATAATGGGTACACTCAGATGGCTGCTTCCATTTTGTATTTTGTTGGTTGCTTGTTAAAAGTTTTTTTAAAAAAGATATCTATTAATAATTTCTCATACAAGAATGGCTAGTAATTCACAGGACTGGAGAACTCTAACCAAAATTTTAAAAAAAACCACCAGTGATTTAGAGAAAAGGTTTAATTTAGAGAATAAGTCTGAAAGCATATAAAAATAATTTTCAATGTTTACACTTTGGTCTTAAAGATTCAAGACTATATTAATTTGGGGAGATACTTAAATAATATTTAATTTACCCCCCAAAGGTAACTTAGTAAAATATGCATTGATAGATTTTATTAAATATATATATATATAAAACCCAATGCACATGAAAAGTCCTATATAAAAAACTGATGTAGTCAGATCTAGATACGATAGGTGAAAAAGGACCATAATGACCAGATTTTGAAATCTGAGTAATCCAACATTTTACAGTGTAAAATAAATTAATATTTTAATTCCTATTACTCATAGTAATAGGAATTAAAATACTATCATGTAAAATATAAAAAGGGGGAGGGAGGAGAACTTGTGAGTTTCTTCATAGAGAATTAAAATATCGAAGTGCTTCCAAAGAGATAGAATGTGACCAAAAGCACGCTTTTCAGAAAACAAAAGATCAGTAAAGACTAAGACAAGAATTGGAAAAAGACATTCTCCTCTATGTGTATTATCTTTTCATGTGGTATAGATGGAAAACACTTGTCTCGCTATCCTTGTTGATGGAAATCAAAACCTAAGGTGAATAATTCACAGACTTGTCTGCAGCTATAAATGCTGGTATTTTTTATTGGATTTTCTACCTCTTACTAAAGTCTGTAGTTAAAGAAGAATTTTGAACATGGGATAAACATGCCTCAGTACTTCTGAAGCTGTGCCAACTCTACCCCAGTCTGTTTTATAACTAGCACAAATGTCTTCAGTGTGCAACCCAATTGCTGAACCAGAAAGTTAACAGACATTTGTCACAAAGCTTACACATCTACAGTAACATCTATCTGACCTTATTCATGGCTGAGTTCGCCGATTCTCCAATAATACTATTAGTTTGCTACAAAGGTAAGCACTTGGGACCTTCTGCTAATTCCAGTTTTTGAAGGATATTTATTTATTATGTTTCCAAATGCCTGCTTAGGACATGCAAAAAAACTCAGTCGAATTATCAAAACTAATTTTTACAACGCTTTCTCATTAATCCATGGAAATCATTTTTATAAGAGTTCTAGAAGGCCAGATAATTTTAGAGAGAGATTTTTTGAAAACATGAAAAACATGAATGGTTCTCTTAGTAACTGTTAGTCAGATTAGATTCTGAAGTACTTTTGTCAAACATTAAAGTAAATGAGAGCCAACATATTGCAGTAACCCAGAATGTTGGATCAACAATATTGAAGTTCAAGTTTGTATTTATTATGAAACTCTTTGAATAACTTAGTCTCTTTGCTTTTTTGAGCATAATCTATTTTACAGGAAAAGTATTAGGACAAAATGAAGAGAAACCTTTGCATACACAATCTTGAGTTCACAGAGAAAAAGCAAAATATGAATACTAACAAGCGTATATGAAAGACAATCATTTTCATACCTCACTCATAAGCATCAGAGTAATCTTCCCCAATTAATTGCCCTCCATAATGTTGGATTTCAAGCTTCCAGAATCCCCCAGCCACCAGGAAGTCTGGTGAAGGCTGACCATGATATAGGATTGGCAGCAAAAAATTGAAATAATGGCCCTTGATCTGATTCAGGTATTTAAGTATTCAGATATATATTTTCATATTAATGGAGCACTATACCAGGGGAAAACTCATTTACAAATATCTGTACTTCTCGGCTGCTTAAAACAAACAAACAAACAAAAATGTTTTTTCTACAGGTCATGAGATGGCAACCCTAGTAAATGGGAATGCATTGCATTGAAGTAACACTTACATTAACTTGTTCAATTTTTAGATTTGTCAACACTGCATAAAACATGCGGTTCAAATCATAATGTTTACATTTTATTGCCAGAGTATATACTTATGCACATAAATCAAATTATGATAATTATGTGTATGTGTATTTGAGATTTTATATGAGGCTCAGGGTTAGTAAATAGCTAATTGGAGGATGAAGTGAGAGTAGGAACCAGCTTAGTAGCAGCTTAGTCCTCTGTCCCTTTGAATGGTGATATAAGATTACAGCCAACAATCCTTGTGTGCAAATATCTTTAAATCAAATTAAGCAAGGCAGCTTGCATTGAGAGGATAGGTCTGAAATGTAACAGAGCTGACAGGGCTGGAGTTATTCTAACCATAGGTCTGCTGAGGGTTACATGGTTACATTAAGAAAATCTGTTTGCTCATTGGCTCTACCACTGCCTTTCTTCTGGCATAATTTTTTTCAAATTTGCAGCTTCTAACACTTTGCATAGTGCAAAGGAGAAACTGAGACTACAGTGTTAAAAAAAAAATCTGAAAGCATTATAAAAGAAATCAAAAGGACCAGAAGTCTCATAAAGAGGAATAAGCAAATGTGAATTTGCTGCAGTGTTTTATTTGTTTTATTACTTCCAAATTTATAATCCTGATTTTTACTGAAGTGTACTTAGTAGGGATTAACACTGGGATTAACACCAGACAAACAATTAAACAATAAACAGTAACCTAATCAAGGAACTACCAACTCAGACAAACAAACCGTAAACAACAGCCTAATCAAGAAACCACTAAGGAGAAAAACAACACTGCCGACACTGATATATAAAACTAATGTGGCTCATAGCATTTTAAAAATATAAAAACAAAATAAAAACAATACAATTAAAACCAAAGCAAAATTAAAATCAGGACCATTAACATCAATTAAACCTAACAATTAAAAACTTGATAAAAAAAATAGGTTTCCACCATTTTCCTAAATACCAGAGAATGGGAGCCAGGCAAACATCTTTGGAGCATGCATTCTATAGCTTCAGGAGAAGGCTATCTCCCATGTGAGACCAAAGATGCTTTTTCACAAGGCAACTGGACTTTCTTGTTTTTCTTTGAAGATGTTTCACTTCTCATTCAAGAAGCTTCTTCAGCTCTGACTGGATGGTGGGGAATGGAAAGATTTATATTCTTTGCAGACAGCTGGTCATTTGCATTCTTTTTAGAGAGTCCTTGAGGAGCTTTATCTGTGTCCTCAGGGTCACCTGAGTAGTGCAAAATGGGTGTGGAGCCCTACTCAGGTGACCTTGACCTTAACCCGTTATCAAGTTTAGGCAATGTTCAAAACTGTGAATTCTTTCCTTGGAATTAGATGGTAAAGAAGTAGGTATCATCAGCAGACTAATGGCCGTCCATTCCAAGCTTCTAAATGGCCAAATCTAGTGGTTTAATACAAAAGTTAAATAATACAGGGGAAAAATCTCTGTGTGATATCACTCATCCAGTTGTGGAACAGTAGACCTTGGGACCTGAATGTCCCACAAGGCCCATCCCTTCTGGATGACCCAGAAGAATACTGTGGTCAATAGAATCATAAGCTTCCAAGATCAGGGAGAACTATCAGAATTCCATTCCTTCCTCCTACTGTATTTCCTGACCACAGTCAGTGGGGATTTCATCTAGAATATGTTAAAAAAAAATATTGGTTGCCTTGGCAAATGAAATCTAAACAAATCCAAGATTGATTGATTTGTGACATATTACACCTGGTCTCCTCCACAGTTCACCAATTCTAGTTGTGTCATGCAGATTGTACATCAGATGGTGTTCCTGATCTCATTTTTTAAAAAAAATTATTTAATGAGCTGTTAATATACTTATCAATGTATATTTTGATTTGGTGTTTTCCTACAGCATGAATTCGATAAGTCCAGCTCATGAGCCTAATCCCATATGACCTGAAGTGAGGTCTCTCCTCTGATGCCCAACCTCTTGCTTTCACTATCGATGAAACTGATGTTTTAATGATACAATTATTCTGTTACCGATTATGATTGGGTTTTAACAATGCAATCTCAGAACA